TCAGAATTAATGTAGATAATATTCAAGAAATAAGATCTGCATTTCTCCTAAGCCATGGGAAAAAAATAGAGTGGTAAGAAAATATAAATTGAAAGCATTTCCTCATAGTTAACTATTGCCAGAAATCAAAGTTAAAATCTCATCTCTGGCTTTTTATAGAGCTTCCTTGCCATAGCTCCTGAATCTAGCAGCCCAACAATGAAAAATAAGACTCCTATTCTAAAATATTATTCACGACAATTCTTTGGGGAGAAATCATCTATTTAAACAACGTATATATTGGATAAAGAGTTTGGCATCTACTTGATGCCACACTGTATCCCTCAATTTTTTAGTGTATACTTTTGTTGTTAGCAATTGGCAGTGAGGAATTTTGTGCAGTAAGCACATTGTTTATTGCCCACTCCACAGGGGGGAGAGACAAAGTGCGTATGCACAGTTGCTTTCTGAAATCACAACCCCAAAAGGAACTTACCTATAGTTGTTATCTTTGGGGAGTAACTAACATATTTTATGAAATATATTCCATGTGTGCCAACACTTTGATTGTTGTAACAAGGAGGAAAACAATGTGAGGCCTGGAGAGGATATTTATTTTTAAAAGCTATAGTAATAAGACGTTGGCCTATTACCATTTTCTGACAAATGAAAGAATGACTTAAACTTCAAAATTGGTAGCAGTATCTTGAAGAGTATAAATCAAAATGCTCTTATTTATCAGCCAGTCATAACTATCCCAAGGACTGTGGAATAAAACACTCATTTCTGCTTCCACCATTCAAATGCTGCCTCTGCTTTGTTAACCTTTTGAAAAATCACAGTTCTCTGTAAGTTGCATTTTCCTCCTCATCCAAGTAAACTTATTATGCAGCTACACTGACATTTAATCCAGTATAATTGTACTAATGTGTACACCAGGGCCTACTCAGCAATAGTGCCCCTCTTTGCAGGGAAGCAAAGGCCTGTGGAATCTGGATACTGCATTGCCAAGAAAGGGACTTCCACCACTCAGGATGGTGAAGTCACTTCCACCAATAGCCAGAACTGAGAAAAATATGGGCTTCTTTTTCTTAACAGAAGACAAGTAAATCATCCTAAGAAAATACTTAGGCAGGTTCCTGAACACACGCTACAAGATTGATGTTTTAATGAAGAAGCAAAGGGGCATAAAAAGAAATCTCGAGATGAGTGTGTTGTCTCCAACAAGCCTGTCTCTCAGTGGTCAAAATATGTTTTCTCTTGCTCTTTTTGTCTGCTTTTCTCTGGCAAAGTGAGAGGTGAATCACTTTTGTTCTGCTGTGATTATTTTTACCCCTCAAAACACAGCTTAAGGGCTCCATTTTAGGGCATAATTACACACAGAGCCAACTTGCTCAAAAGGTTAAAAAAAAAAACTCCTCTAGTCTCAGTAAATATCAAGCAGCAAATGAGTCAAGTTCAAGTGAAAGCAGGGGAAACATTAACCATTTCTTACTAAAAACATACATTATATACTTCATTGCTCCCAACAAACCCCACTCATTTCTTTGTACTTCAACTTTCCTCTATGGAGTGCACAGAATACAGTCTGTCCCCATCTTGCAAATAGCTTGAAATCCAAAGAGACATTTGTAAATCAGTTTTTAGCTCAGTATGTATCTTACCACAGAAGAAAATATCATATGTGGGGTTAGATTTCTAAGCTATCCAAGGGTAGTTAATTTTACTTTGATGTATATAAAACAGTGAACATACTTGTGGTAAAAGTATAGACTTCAATATTCTTAAAACACTAATAATTATACCAACTGAAAAACATTTTCTGTTGCTTTGGTTGTTTCAAAGTGAAATGCTAAAAATAAAAGATTAAAGAATACTAGATTTGGGTACCCAAGAATCATTGCCTCTATATAAAAAAGGAACTAAAATTTAAGAGGTTTTGATACTGCAAAGTATCAAACTTTAATTAATCACATTTTGATAAATTGCAAATTGCATCATCAACACATGTAGTTATTTTACATATGTCTTCTTCCTTCATCAAAAGGTTGGACCACATCTTCCAATTATTTTGTTTCAATTTACACACTTATTGTAGTTTTCAACCCTACTCTTTGGGCACAGGATAAATGAAATTATCTCTCAGACAAAATAAATGAGTTCTATGACCACTTTGAAGTCCATCGCTGAGGCTAAGCATTCCTGAACCTTGCACTGAAACTGATACCTAACCCATGAGAATGCTCTACATTGAGACTCTTTATGTCACTTTTATTCAAGACCTGCAACAACACAGCCTTCCTCTTTTGGACTCTTTATGCTCCACATTGGAGGTAAAAGATGTTTATGGAGCATGTGAGAAACTATGTTGTCAACATGTTTTCCTAGTTCTGCTACTTCTTCCAATAGTCTATTTCCACTCAAACCATGGGGATTTCATAAAACATGTGTCACAACTCTGTTCAGCTCTCATGTATCCAGTGGGTTCTGATCATACTTGGGGTAAAATCCAAACTCAGTATCATCACCTACTTTGCAGATGCTATCTTGCCTGGCCCAGTCACCTATCTGAACTCAGGGGCACCACTCTATACCTCATCGCCATGGAATGAGTCCCATTTCTCTGCAACATATGAAGCTCTTTCACCTCTAAGCATTACTCTACTCCTTTCTTCTGCCTGAAACCCTCTTCCTCTTATCTTAATATGGCCAGCTCCTTAATATAATTTTGTTTTCTATAAGGTTTTATTTCTTATGTGACCACCCTTTTTTAAAAAAAGCCTCTGAACTTCCTCCTTCTAATTTTTATCATCATATCCTGCTTTATTTTTTTAAGGTCACTTATCACTATCTGACATCATATTGTTTGTCTTACTTGTTTCTGTCTATTGTCCTTTCCCCCCACTAGAGTGTAAACTTCATGAGGTTATGGACTATTTATGTCAGTTAACATTGTTTCCCAAGCACTTAGCCTGGCACATAGTACAAAATCCACGTGTATTAAATGAGTGAACAGCTATTAATGTTAAAGAGATATCCTTGAGTGTATGTTAATATAATAATTGCATTAGTGCTAAACATTGTTATTAAATCATATTGTGGCCTAGAGAAAGAAAATCATACCCTTTTCAACTGAAATGCTAAGTTCAAGAGGTGAAAGTTCAAGTAGAGAGGAAGACACAAAGTCTGAAACCACTTTAAGCCAATTCTTTCACAAATCACTGAAAGAAAAGGTTAAAGGAATGGAGGTTTTTAGTCTCCCAAATAGTGAATTAAGAGATTAGTTAATTATTGTCTTCACATATGTGAAGACATTTTATCATGAAAATGTCAAGCTTTTATCTGTCTATGAAGAGGAAACATTTAAATTAAAGCTGGAGATATTAGGATGAACATAAAACTCTCTTGCATGCAATGGAATGGGCCTCTAAAAGTGATTTTGGAATTTAGGGGCCAAAACTTTGACAGGAGAATGTTGAAAACATCAATTTTGAATACATGGACAATAAGTTATATGAGAAGTGAACATAGTTGGATTTCTCAGATGGCCTCATTTGGCTAAGGAATGTTGAGCAATATAAGGTTAACACAAATTGATAGGTTTACATAAAATAGTTCCAATTAATACAAATATATGTAAATACATGCTTCACTCTTTTCTAGTCCTCTGCATCCAGCTAATATTCTCTACTTGTCTCTCCAAATAGAAACAGAGCACATCATAATTGTGTCATAGCTTATTTCTCTTTCTCCCTCTTCTCCTCTTACTTGGTTTACTCAGCAGAAGCCAAAGGAAGAATAGGAGAAGAAAAACATCCAGTCAACCTTAAAAACACTAGTTATTTAAGAGGTATTGCTCCTATGTACTTGGTGACACCAGACTGTTTTTCTGCTTTATCATTAGCTAATAGTAGCATTAATTAACAATTACTGCACATTTATTATTTTCCAAGCACTATCCAAAGGGCTTACATGAATTATCTCACTTAAACCTGACAATGAGCTGAAGAAACTGAGATTCAGAAAGGTGAAAGTCATTGTTCAAGTTGATACAGACAGTAAATGGCAGAACTAAGCTTAGAACCCACGCTCTCTGACTACACTGGCTGTATTCTGAACCACTCTGCTGCAACCAGTTGAAATAGACTAGAAACAGAAAATAATTCATTACACACGGGTAGCATTTTCATTTATCAGAGAGCAGTAGCATTTTCCTGAGTCCCATGAGAAAATGATCATTCCTTTTTTCCTCCCATAATCTCTCCTTTGAGAATCATTTCCCATCTAACATTATCCAAAATTGGCCACCAACCAACAAGTATTTTTAAGTCATTCTACTTAAATATTGGACAGACTACCATGCTGAGACACAGAACAGTTCCAAGAGTGTGAACTGGAGAAATGCCCACTGTCTCCTGCTCTGTTTTCAGCACCATCCTCTGGCTGTGCTTTCTCTGAGATGCCCAATTGGGATTACAGTCAAATGAAGTCTATCCCCATGCACACACATGGACTAAAGAACATTGTTATTCTGTGTAGAGACATAAATGCCACCTTAGTTGGGGGTTCTTGAGAGTAAAATGGCAAGGTATAACAATTATTTTAATGTATATATTTGCTCTATGTAAAAATTCTGCTAATGAATTCACAAAGGACATAATCATAAATGCACAAAAAATTGTTCATTGCAGTGATTTTTATAGTATTAAAAATAAATGAAACAAACTACAAATCCCCACATACGTAATGGTTAATTCAATCATGACACATCAATATAAGGGAATTAATGTAATATTTGAAAAAAGTTATTAATTTCAAAAATATATATAAGTAAAAAATAATAACAAACAATATGTACAATTGGGCTCATTTTTGCAAAACAATCATAAAATATGTATAAGCACATATAAAAAAGAAAAAGTCTGCATCAGAAGTTTGTAATATTCATCACATATAATGGAATTATTTATTAATTTCTTATATATATATATATATATATATATATATATATATATATATATATATATGTGCTCTCTAAAAATGATATGCATTATTCCTTTGGGAGCAGGAATACCTCCATAACATGCTACATAAAAGGAGTTCTCAGAGCTTCCAACCTTACAGTAGAGGTTGAGTAGTAGTATATTTCTCCTACATAGAAAAAATAAATAAATAAATAAAAAATAAAAATGATATGCATTACTTTCATTATAAGAAAATTGGGGGGGGAAGGCCACCATAATTTCCTTGCATAAAGCATATAAACTCCTTTCTTTAACAAGAATATTATTTGTTACAAGTACTTTTAATAAAAATGTACAGCATTTGTTCAGAAGTAGATTTACCATGAGTTTAAAATTATTGAAATTTCTTATTTTTATTGCTTTATGAAATCTGGGGAGAAAATGCAATATTTAAAGACATAGCCAGCCCCTGAGCAATTCCTGTGAGCTAGAAAATGGCAAAGAAAACGACCAAGGTGCCCAAGATGAAAATCACTTAATACATGTTAGTGACTTGGAAAACAGCCAGAAATTAATAGAAAATGAAACATAATGAGCTGCATCAACCATGCAGAATATAAAAATATTTTAAAAGCTACAGAATAGAGTATAGAAATTAATCCATCAACATATATGTATAAGGTTATTCAATATATTGAAAAAGTGGCATTTAAAATCAGCTTTAAATATTGGGTTTTTTAATAAATGGCATACAAGTAGTTGACCATTTATTTAGGAAAAAAAGTTAGATCCCTATCTCATAACTTTCACAAAAATAAATTTGATAAAGATTAAAGATCCACATATATGAAACCAATTTGTAAAAGAATTAGAATAAAGTAGTGGAAAGTGAAAGAGCTTTTAAAGTCATATCTGAAATCTCCAAGAAAATTGGTGATAGACTATTTCCCCTTGTTCCTAAATATAACCTAAAATTGCTGAGATATAAAATATACTTTAAACAATATGAAAGATGTGACATTTTAGAGAAGGTATTTGCAATGTTTAATGCATAAAAAATCAGCTTATGTTCTTAGCACATAAGTAAGCTTTCACAAAACAGTAAGAAAAGCAGTGAAAAAAAAACATAGAAAAATAAGCAAAAGATATGAATAGGTAATCCAAGATGTAATACAAATAGCTAAAGGAAGAATTCAAAAAATGTTCAGCATCACTAGTTATTGAGTAAATAAAAATCAAACAATAATAACACCATTTCTTTCCCAGTAGATTAACAAAAATTGTTTTAATTTAAAAATATTGATGTTTAGCAATACTGTGATGAAATAGAGAATTTCATTCACCAGATTATTGGGTTGTAATTTGAAACATCTGTTTTTAAAATCAGAATATTATTTTTCAAAAATTTAACTACACTTTCAGGCATCCTATCCCCAAGGAAATCTCATAGTAATATATGTATACATCATTGTTGCTATTAACCAACATGGGAATAGTTAAAGAAAATACACCCCCACAAACATACAAAAAGCCTACATGTATTTGTATATGTTTTACAAATATATGTGTGCACATTAAAAAATACAAACATAAACCCCAAACCAAAGCCTAGGTCTATGTGAGTATAATCTCCCCCCTGTGAGGGAAAGAAATGATGAAACCCAGAGTAGGAATCCCATTGTTCAACAGAGACCAGGACAGCAAGTGCATTACTGACATGCAAAGAACAACTCAATTCTCAGATTTTTTTCTATATAATACAATCAGAGAATGTTGTTCCCTCCCGAGAGTAAAATTTTTACTTTTGGGAAAGAAAAATATAGAAGGGTAGAGTGACATGGTAAAATGGCCAAAGAACTCCTAGTAATTATGATGAGTAATTTCATCTCAAATTGCTTATGATGCTGTGGTGTCAGATTCTCCATTTTCTCAAACTTTCAGAAACATCTGCTTTACACAAAACTTTGCATGTGTCTGTGTGTGCAAATTAAGTAAAGGGTCTGAGTTCCATGCTTGGGTTGGAGCAAGGCAGAGATAAAGAAACAGCTAAAAAATATAGAGACATGAGGAAAACAGCAAAAGAAGCAAGGAAGCCAGAGCCATGAAAATGTACTCCTATCAGTAATTCTCAGAAATCTTAGAGGTGACATGTCCTTCCTATAGACCAAATAAAAGGGGTTCAAGAGTAGAGATGTCCTAGCTGGCATGCAGGTTACATATATTTGTAAATGTAATAGCATTGTGTTTACAATATTCATTATTTTAAAAATTACAAAAGGAATATTGATTGGTGGAAAAAAATTATAGAATAGCCTGAGCAGCATGGCCAGTGGTTGAGCATCGACCTATGAACCAGAAGGTCAAGGTTTGCACACACCCTGGTTGCAGGCTCTATCCCCAGTGGGGGATATGTAGGAGGCAGCTGATCAGTGATTCTCTCTCATCATTAATGTTTCTCTCTCTCTCTCTCTCACTCACTCTCTCCCTTCCTGAAATCTATAAATTATATTTAAAAAATCATAGGCTAAAAAGGAAAGCCTCTTTTCACCAGCTCTCCCCTAGTGCAGCCCACTCACTAGCATATTGCAGAATTCCAGACACTCACATGGTCATTGATACATAGAGAGATTGAGGTGAACTGTTGTTATTTTTTTTAATTTTGTTTTATTGCTTAAAGTATTACAAAGAGTATTACATATGTCTCCTTTTTTTCCCCCCCTTGACATTCCCCCGGCCTCCCCTACCCCCCAGTGTCTTATGTCCATTGGTTATGCTTATATGCATGCATACAAGTCCTTCGGTTGATCTCTTACCCCCCCCCCCACCCTCCAACCCTCCCCAGCCTTCCCGCTGTAATTTGACAGTCTGTTTGATGCTGCTCTGCCTCTGTATCTATTTTTGTTCATCAGTTTATAATGGTCTTTATATGTTGTTATTAATGTTGAGGCTTTGTGACTATCCAGGAACTGTCACCCTTCCTGCCTGCCTTGGATATACCAACAAGTGGCATACTAACTATCTATATTTAGACAGATAAAGTGAATAAAACTGTACATATTAATTGACCAAATTTAAGAGCTAGATATTTCAAAATGTAATTAGACTTATGGATCCAACCAACCAGACAATGAGGAGCACTGCATCTACATCTGAAAATATTGTTTTGTAAAAAATGATAAAAAAGAATCCAGATAATCAGAAGTATGTGATTATGAAATTTGAAAACTAGGTAGAGAACCTGTTTCTAAGGAAAACTTAAGACAAACTCAAGTTTGACCAGAGATAGAATCTGATAAAAACCTGAGCTACTAGAGACATCGCAGATGATGAAAAGGCACTTGACTAAGGACCTGACAATCTCAGGGATGAAATTAAGACTCACTTTGCTGCCCACATCCATTGCCTCCCATATCAGACATTACAAATTGATCTCAGCCCTATTATGCCAAGCTGAGCCAGAAATAAATTCACAATCCTTCTTAAGATAACAGCTAGGCAGCAACTACCAATGGACCAGAGCTAACACAATAGGTAAAATATTTTTACGACCCAAGTGATAGGACAGAAATATGCAGAAATAAGTCCTCTCTGAGTAAGATATCTCCAACATATCTCTTTGCCCAAACAAAATTCATATTTATACTCAAGCCAGGTTGAGGGTTACTTGTCTATAAAGTTTATACCCTGAGTATAAAATAAGTTCATGTCAATCACTTTCTGCCACCAAGTATTACAAAACAAAGATGAACATCTATGTTCTCAAAGCTCTAACCAGGAAAGAATACACTTCAGTCTTTAAATTTCAGCAACAAAGGAAAACGGCCTTATTATGGTATAGAAATTCACCATGCCGGGGGGAATACAGAAGGTCTCATCCAGTTCTCAACTTCCTCTCTACTGAGTCACAAGGACACACTCAAAGCAGAGATTGCCAGCTCCCTGACATAACCAACAGCCCACTCCACTGCTAATCATGCAAAGAACAGAAATCCCATGCCACACAATATTCTGTGAGGGGAGAGAAGGACCAGGATTTCTGCTCAAGAGATCAGAAGAGAAAAGAATCGCCTTCTTCGTAGAGAAGGCCCTTGCAAAGTTTCTGCTGAATTAAGCTTTACATGAGGGTGGAAAACCTACTGTAAGGCATGTGGTTGCATTAATTATAAGATTTCAATTTGACAGTTTAATTAGGAAAAGGAGAGTTAGTGTAGGGCTTGCAGAATTCATGATGAATCACATACTCCAACAGACTTCATTTTCATATTTCAATTACACACATTTCTAACTGATGAAGAGCAACATAGCATTTTCTGTTTAATAAATGTGATATCTGTTGGAATTGATAACATTAGTTCAGTAATTACTGCACCATTATCAGGCTTTTAAAAACATGGGAAAAAGTCTTAGTTATTAAAGTTTAGCATCAGCACAAAACTATATTTTAAGTGTTCCCTCAGACCACATTAGCTGTTCCTTACAGATAAAACGGTGAAACTCAATAGCAGGTATTTGCATGGGATTGATTTTGATCAAATCACACCTTATTTGATTCCCTGACACACCACTGCAGTTATAATATTCTTTCTAAATCTTTATTCATAATTCAGGCCAAAAAAACTGGAGCAGGACTTAACTGGTTTTTGAATAACATATTTTAATGCAAGATCATGCTAAAATTCTGATTTTTGCTTAAAATAATAATAATAAATATAACAAAAACTTATTTTATCAATTTAAAGATAAATATAAATTCAAAGGGGGGCAAACTTTAAGTGGCTTGGTCTGTGAAAACATGTAAAAACTTACGAGTTCTTTCCCAGAGTGCCTGTTTTGAGTTCTGGGAACCAAAGTTGAAAAGCTGGATATGCTCATAGATGCACTAGGATCTTTTCTTTTGCATGGGTTGGGAACAAACAGAAGTTCATTAAATCAAATACAGATGTCAGTTTCCTCGGGGACTAAGAAAAACCATGCTCTACAATAAACACAACTACATTCACTGAAAGTGTAGCACACTTCTGTTTTTTTAAATTACTTCAAAATTTGTGTATAATGATCTTTTTGTGAATAATACCTTGACTTTTATCTACCTTGAACTACCCACTTACTACTGTTTATCTTGCAAAAGTCTTGACATTTACTTAGATAAAGCATATTTATGTGTTTGTGTTACATATATATTTGTATATGTATCA